AGGGGACATAGAAAATAGCTAAAGCTCCGCAGTTTTCCATTCAATTATCTCCGGTGGAATCCTCTCCGATAATGTAATGGCACATTAACAAAGTTAGCCGAAAGGAAAATCAATGGCCACACCACCATCGTGGCACATTACGAATCCACTTGTTTTCAAGTTTGAGCGAACCGACCTCGATTTTCCAAATGGCAAATGGTTCTTGGATATCGAGAGTTAAATTCCAAGCGTTTCTCAAAAATGAGAAGAAAATGGAATACGAAATGCAATTCGATGAAATGCTCATTTCAATACAACGAGAAAATTTGTAATTTTTCCAAGCCTTTTTTTAACTGACTAAGAATGAAAAAAGAGACATATAAATAGTTGGTAATTTCGCACAGTAGAAATTTCCCAATATTTCAGACGCACGAGAGGAAACCAAAAAAAAAAGAAAAAAAGTGAGAAATGGGAAGGGTGGGAACAATCTGACCATTTTTAATTGACTGCAAAAAATAATCCAATTATTGGTAGTAATAATAATAATAGAGAAGCAGAATTGTTAAAATGCTTTAAAATCATTCCTTGATTATACGTGATGCTCAGAGAATTTCTCAAATATAGGTATCCTCCTCTGTAATCTCAGATTTTTCTTTCGAAGCTGCTTCTTATCAACGGTCCAAGGAGACTCTACTTCATCCACAGCTTATATATCACCAAATGGACACCCGAGTAGCAGCCGTTGTTCACCGAAGGTACATCGGTGATAAAATCCATTAGATGTGTGTGTGTGTACCGGAAAAGTCAATTCCAAAGTAACAGGCACGGCTATATGTTTTTTCCAATTTTATATTTCAGGCAAGTAAAGCCGAGAAAAAAAGTCACGTTTCCTCGGAAAATGAAGAAAAATAGGGGGGAATCGGTTTTACAGAGATTATATCTGGTCAAAGAAAATATCAACTTGGGGTGTTGAATTGATAACAAATTCATAACTTGATGTATATTTGTCAATTGTAATAATGATGTTGAAACGAAAATTCGATGAATTGATAATTGATAATTGGGGCAGTAAAGTGTTGTTGAGTTTTCGACAACCTGTTGATACAATATAGTGTCCAAGTATTTGTAAAAGGGCAAGAGACTCTTGAGCTCCAAAGAAAGAGAGGGGAAGAGTGTTTAACAACTTGAAATATTGAATATTGCATTTTTGATCATTATAATACTATATATCCGCACTGCAATACAAGTACACTTATGTATTATTCAAGGATCCACTTGAACATCTCAACAAGAATGATGATTAAAGAATTGGTTAGACAGACAGACAGACAGAGAGCATCTCTACATGCTCCACTCACAAGAGTGTTGGTGATACAAGAGGCAGGCAATTGGTAATATGTCTTGAAAACGCTTCAAGAGCAAATTCAACATTCCTAGTGCGCTCCTCTGACACTCTTGAGGTACTCATCATCGAGCTAGGAGGGTTGCATTGGGTGCTACCATGTCTACTCCTAAAATTCCCCAACTGATAACACATATTTCCGAATCTGCTCCTTCTAACTAATGTCTCTTCAACTAACATGGTATGGTAATGTAAAAACATTAAAAAAAAACAATGTCCATTTTAAAATGTTCTCCCAAGTTTATTATTATCAGGCCAGATTAAATTAATCCAACTATACTATATTATACATATATACGCGTCTGACGAAAATCATTTCTACTCCTTGAGAAGTGTTTTCCATGCTGTTGGATAGTGACTCAACCACAGGATTGGACCGGAAATATAGTGTTATAGTTGTCAGAGGGCTTTTGAGGCTATCACATTTGACTATTACGTTTCAAGTTTCTCCACAGAGGGGAATATACTACTTGAAGCAGGGAAATACCACGAGCTTTAACTATACGTACCAAGTCATGGACTTTTCATCAACGTTTCTAACAGAGAGAGAAAGAGAGAGAGAGAGAGAGAGAGAGAGAGAGAGAGAGAGAGAGAGAGAGAGAGAGAGAGAG